AAATATTGACCGATCTTTATCAAAACAGACATGCTTATTCTTTGGGCCGATCCCCTTCTCCATGCAAAATTTCACGATGTTCGGGCCATTATTGCGGCCTGTGGAGCGACCAGAAAAACGACAAAAATTTAGTATTTGGTCCATTTCATCCCCTAAATATTAACCGATCTTTCTCAAAAACAATAGGGGTCTTCATTGGCCAGAACCCATCCTACATGCAAAATTTCGTGAAGATTGGTCCATAACTGTGGCCTGTATCGTGTTTACAAATTATAATGGACAGACGGACGGACACACATGTCTAGATCGACTCAGCTAGTCGAGATATAACGATCGGTGTACTTAAAGGTGGGTCTACGACCAATATTTCGTGGCGTTACAAACTTTTGGGGCTGCACAAAGCTATAATACCCTGACAACATAGTTGTGTAGGGTATAATAATTTTTGGTACGGATATGTGCTATTTAATGAGAACCTAAAATAACAAATTACAGCATGTCAATAATCCCCAAACCGCCGTATATTGAGGGTCAGAATTCTGTCTTAAATATTGCGATCTCTATCTTGATTTCAACAGACAGACGGACATGCGTAAATTATTAAAGTAACCGTACGTCCTCTTTTTTAGAGGGTAAGCATCTATTTTAACTGGTTGTCAACTATAATATTTATGTCCTCTATCCGTCATCTATCTCTATAATCTCTCATCTTTGTCATCTATATTTTTAAAACCTTGATCAGTATTTATTTTTGTAAATTAAAATAAATTAATACATTTTGTGAAGTTTTAGAGAAATATTTAGAAAAGGTATTTTAAATATATTCTGGATTTTTAAACATATTTTCCAACCGAATTATCCGTTATTTTATATTTTGAGTTCTAATTGGTAAATTTCCGTAATTATTAAAGTTTGGTATTTTTAGAATACCTGAGTACGTTTTGCAACCAAATTGGCTGTAATTAATTATGTAATGTAATTTACTATTCCTTGTGGCCTATGGATTACAAAATGTCCTTGGAAAACATAGTCGACATAGGTTATTTGCTATGTTCCTTATATAAAGATCCCATGATTATTCGCAGAGGACCAAAAATTTAGCTCGGTCTTAATTAACGAATTTTTAACTCAATTTACATGCAAAAAAGTAAAATGTACATGCTATTATTTTTATTAAAAATAAAAATATGGGGATTTTTTGTCGGTTTTTCAATTGAATTGGCTATTACATGGCATTGGTTTATTATTATTGACCCAAGTCGGTATATTGAGAATTTTGGAGATTTTGTTCAACGGAATTAGCTTAAATATGGTTTTTTGTATTCCCATTGGCTGTCAAATCTTACTACCAAAAAAAAAAAAAAAAATAGCAATGATCTCTGTTTCATTATAGCCTCATATAACGGCAAATCCACTATTAACTATTTTGAGAATTTCAATTATCCTTTTCTGACGTTTTTCGGTATGTTCGGGGTGCCATCATAATATGGGTTTTCTCCTTGTAACCCCATTAATTGTAGATAATTTGATTGTCATACTCATTGTGGGGTATGTAAACATTTGTATTTTTATTTTTTTTTTACACCATTAGAAAACAATTTTTAGAACAATTTTTTATTGGCGTTTTAGTAGAAAATGTACAAACATTCGTATGCTTTTGCACGCCACTGTATGTCTCCCCGATTAAATCAAAAGTCTCAAGATTAGTTCATATACGATTTTGATATACACTGGTGGCCTAAAATAAAGAAACTAAAATTTAATTTAAATTTTCAAAAATAAAGATATGGTTGTTTTTCTGTTTTAAATCGGGTGCTTTAAAAAAGTATAATTACTATACTTTCGTTTCTACACCTGATATCATTTTATACCAATGTTTAATGAATTTACATTAACATTTGTATGGTTTTCAATTTTGACAAGACTAGGAACAAATATAGTACTCCGATAAAACAGCTAAGTTCCAGAGATTATCACAGAAAATAGTTTCTCGAACATCAGTAGTGACAGTTTAGCACGGCAAAAGAACATTAGTTCCTATTGATCAACGAATTGTCAGAGCAGTAAAAAAAATCCCATTTAAGAGTTTAACGGAATTTGTGAGACGGTTATCTTTGTATATAATTTCAAGAACAGCACGTCTACAATCCCGAATAATATTAGATTTTTTATTTCTGAAAAAAAAGACGGTAAGCCAGATTGCCTTTCGCAAAAACTCATATTAGTTGCAATTCGACTCAGTGAAGAAACATTATGCTCTCGGATGAATTAAAGTTAAATATGAAAGACTCAGACATGAAAAAAATTACGGTGAGAAGGTCAAAAAAAGTATTGCTAGTGTACTGGGAAGCTGGGGGTGGATCAATAATGGTAATTGGTATTTTGTATACCCTTCACCACACTGTGGTAGAGGGTATAATGTCTTTGTGCATATGTTTGTAACATGCAAAAGGAATCGAGATAGACTCATGGCTTCATTTGAGAATATGCATGGAATCACTTTCTGAGTCGATTTATGCATGTCCGTCCGTCCATGTATTTTTGTGAACAAAGTACAGGTCGTATTTATGATCCGATTTGGATGAAATTTAGCACCGGTCACTTGGTCGAACCCTACTGAAATTGGGAAAATCGATTCAGATTTCGATATAGCTCGTCCGATTTTGTGTAATAAGTTCATCAAACTACCAATTTTGGTTCGGTTGAGACAAAATTTTGCACAGTGTACTATATTAGGTTCTGATTGATGTATGCGAAGTTTTGTTGAAATCGGTTCAGGTTTACATATAGCTCCTATATACGGTTGCTTAAATACGTCCATTTATACACTTTACATTTTTTTGCTCGCTTTCATACAAATAATTGTCATTAAATTTTTCATAAATTTCAGAATGGTATGTGTAGGGGTTGTTATAATTTAGTTCAAATATCTATGTACATCACACAGTTAATTTCGCCCGATTCCATTTTAATGGACCTCGAAAGATGTCAATTCTATCTACAGAATATTGTACATATGAGTGGTGAAGGGTATCATATAGTCGGCCCCGTCCGACTTTTGAACTTTTCTTACTGGTTTCTTTTTATGAAATTCCATAGATTTACGAGATTTATTAAGTAATGGATCGGATTGTTTACACAAATGTGTTCGAAAACCCAATGTATCCCTTCGCTGAAGAAAATGTACCGCTTGTTTGGTTGTTTCTACTGGACAATAACCTCCAAACATACAACAAAACATGTCAAATATTGGTTGCAGGAGTCAAAATATGCGTTTTACAGGGTGCGCAAAAATTCGCTCGCGAATGTATTAAAATACATTCTTTTGTTGTGTGCTCATTTTACGAATGAATTCATGGCGATAAATTCTTTACCAAACCAACATTCGCCAAAGAATGTTCGCACACACATAACAAACGGGCGAGAGCACACACCAACGATCGTTCGTTTCGTTTGGTGGTTGAAATTCGTTCTGACATTCTCTCACGTTTTCATTCGTCATTCATTCCCGAATTCTCGCGAATGGTCAAAACAGCAACAACAATAACAACAAACGTTCGTGAACTCAATAGTTGTAAGACACGTGTTTAGTTTTTCCACACACTTTCGCTGTGTGTGTGTTTACTTTTTTATGATATTTCAGTTTGTTGTTGTATTTAAATGTGCTCGCGAGCATTCGCTAACATTTGTTTTTTTTAGTTTTTTAAAAGAATGTCCTTCAGCAACAAATGCTCGCGAACGAACGAATCGACGACGCTTGCTGGAAATTTTTCGTACAATGCGAACATTCGCGAGAGATTGCAAATGCTTGTCCATTCATTGTAACTTTATCATTCGTGATAAATTGAAGACATTCGAATTCTCGCCGTGAGAATTCCTGAGAAAGAGCGTATTTTAATCATTCTTAGCACCCTGGGGTTGTATAATGGACAACGCAATTATCAGATCTTCACCCTATGGGGTATCATAGATAGCAAAGTCAAAAAGGATTCACTAACAAACACACATAACCTCTTCAGAAATGTTCATGATGCAAGGAAAAGTACATCCAAGGATCATATTGAACGTTTTATTGAGTCAATGTCTCGTAGGTATGCTGTGGTAATCGAAAATAAATTATCAGTCTTGCTGTCGATTAAAGTCTAAAAGGAAAAATAACCTCTTCAGAAAGGTTCATGATGCAAGGAATATTTATAACGTTTTATTGAAATTCAAAAAGTTGCTTTTGCTGTCGATTACTAGAAAAAATTTGCTTATTTAAAAGAAAAATTCAAAAAGTTGCCAAGCAAAAAATTGGTCAATTTAGTTTCCCATAGAATATTTGTTATTTCAAAAAAAAATACCTTTGTAATTTTTGGTTTCTTTTTTTTATGAATAAATTACATATATACTTCTGAAAAAAAACACTCATTACAGTTTGCAAAATTTCAGTTGCTTTAGTTTTGGCCACCAGTACATGTTACTACTTTCGTCGAATTTATTATGAGCCAAAATGTGAATTTTAGAAGCACATTTCGCCCATAGTCCTTAGTTGAACCCATCCGATTCCAAACTTCCTTTCCATCCATACTGATCTAATTAGTTAGTGGTTTTTTCATATTAAATACCATTATCTCATCCACAAAGATATGACAAACGGGTGTGCGAACATATCTGTACACCATAGTAGCATGATGACCCACCATTATTATACATAGATATTATCATTACCCCATAAAATTTCCGTTGTATTTGTATGCGTTTCTTATGCGAATTTCTTTACTCTGCGTCTGCCATGTCATTTACATGATAATGACTAAATGGAAGTCGTTACATTAAAGTATAAAACAAGTGTATATATATATATATTTATATACCTACGTACACCTAAAAGCCGCCTCAGGGCAGGGCAACAAGACTTCAGTTAATGTTTTACAGTATTTACAATGTGATTACATACTTTATTTTAATTTACTTAACTCAAATATTAATTCATGTGGGTATTCTCTGCATGTATTTAATCACCGTAAAACATGTCTCCGATTCCAGCTTCTGGGAGGGATATAAGTGAATGTGGCAGACGGCATTTCCCTCTTTTGTGGTAATCGGCTATTAGCAACGCTAGCCCGTCGTGCATCGCTCTGTCGCTTGTCATGGCAATCAACTGCATTCCATATTTCAAATTCATTTATAATGTCATTGCTGGATGTGGTGGTTTCATCACCGGATCCTTCACGAGAGCTGTCGTCATGGACGGCAGCACAATTATCATGGCTGGCGTAGAAGTTGTTACCACCGTTGCTGCTACTGCTGTTGCAACTGCTTGGGGATTGGAGTGTGGTGGGGATGTTACTACAATTTGTGCTGCCACGGCTCCTTGCACTGTGACAGTTGGCAATAAAAATTTGAATTATCATTGCAAGAGTGCGGTATAATGCAAATGTAGCCAGAAATGTGGTTAGAATTGCAGCAAAATGGTTTGAGGCTCGCAATTTTGTAGATGCTGCTGCATTTGTTTGCATTGCCTCGGGCCTTTCTCCTAAAAAGCAGAAAAAAGAAAAATGGAAAAATTGAAATAATATTATTATAATGGGATAGATGTAAGTGTTTTATTAAGCAATAGTTTATCTGAAGTATGAATGCACTTGACTAAATATTGAAATAACCACGGAATGGATACGTGGTTTCAAAAGCAGGGGACTGTGCTAAATTGTTTTTTATAGTCTGCCATTGACGAAAGTGGATTGCTTAATTATCGTATCTCACAAAACTTGGGAATTTACATTATCGACGAACTAAACAACCTAAGTGGAGGTGACTGAAAAAGTCCAAAGGGCTTCTCTAAGAACACAGAATTCCTAGAATATTGTGAAGCAATTTGAAGAGACTGAAGCGGTTACAAATACTCCTCGTTCTGCTGGAAATATACAAGTAAAAACGATGTTGCGTTCTTCGGGGCCGAAATTACTGCCAATTTGTTTGAAAAACTTATAAAAAATCCTCATATTTGGGAGTACCATATTATGGGTGCTATCCTTTAACTTGGGCCAATATTATTATTTTTTGTACGGAAATGTGCTATACAATGAGAACTCAAAATACCAAATTGCAGCCAATTCGGTGGAAAAACGTGTCAAAAATCCCTAGAATGCGTAATACCGAAGGGTACCGTTATATGAGGGCTACCCTGAAGCATGGTTTAATAAATATTAATAATTCTTGGTAGGGATATGTGTTATTCAATGAAAACCGAAAATACCAAATAACAGCAAGTTCGGTTGGAGAACGTGTCCTAAATCTCCAAAATACCGAGCCGTTATATGGAGGCTACCCTGAAACTAGGGTCAATGTTAATAATTTTTGGCATGGATATTTTTTTTCAATGAGAAACCAGCATACCAAATTATAGCCAATTTGGTTGGGAGACCTATCCAAAATCCCAAGACTGCCTAATACTTGGTGGTACCGTTAAAAAGGGTCTACACTTAAACTTGGGTCAATATTATATATTTTTGGTATGGTTGTGGGTTATACAATGAGAACCCTAAATTCCAAATAACAACAAGCTCGGTTGGAAAACGTGTCCACAATCCCCAAAATACCGAATATTGGGGGTTACCCTGAAACTGCGGGCAGTATTAACAATTTTTGGCATCTCTATCGTGCGATCTCTATCGTGATTTCAACAAATAGACAGACGGATATGCGTAAATCGACATAGAGTTTTATTCTGAAGAATATATACGCTATAGGGTCTCCCGCGAATATTTCGAGGTGTTGCAAACAAAATGTACATTTCATTATGGTGGAGGGTATAATGAAAGTATTACCGACAACACGAATGTGTCGATTCCTCGCCGTTCTCAAGAATTGGGACTGTCTTACGGCACATTATGACGTATTTTGCATTTAAATATGCACATACATCCACATAAAGTCCTTCTCACACTAAAACTGAAACCAACTCATTACATACAATTGCTCTATATCGCTAAATAATCGCTGTTGGCATGTAATAACATCTTTCATTCAATTAACACCAACCCTCAATACCCTTAAGTAACGTATCCTTCAATTAATAATCCTTATTATTGTATTGCAATGGCAGATGAGTTTCAAAATCAGAATAACACACTTACAGTGCTTATATAAGAGGATAAACAGGCGTGAACATAATCTTTAAACGCAAGTTTAAGAATAATTTTGCATGTGATACTACAACATTGAGCTAATCGGTCTGGAGACAAAAAATTCTTGCGAATCAAAGATCTATGTGAGTATAATAAGACACGTGATGATGGTATGTAAGGTAAATTTGATAACGTTACATAATCTATTTCAAGGAGATTACCGGCAATTTAAAGAATTTGACCAAACATTTTTAAACAATTAAAAATTTCTTGAGGCGATAAAAGTCCTTGGCGGGTATATAAAGAACAAATGTTTCACCTAAGACCATTTGTCTGCCCGATTGAGATAAAATGATTGATCGAGAGGATATTATCCATTCCATGAATGTTTCAAAAGTATGGGACTGAAATTCGACATCTGTCAACCTATGTTTGCAAACAACCTTTTCAGTTAAAAGTCTGACATTGAAAATTGATCGCTTAACAATCTCACAAGGAATAAAACTGATCAAAACATACTAAAAAATAGTGATTTCAATAAGGGGGGTTCCCCATTCCGCCATTCTGGGTTTCAAAAAAATTAACTTAATATTTTTATATCCTCCACCATAGTATGGAGGGTATATTAGTTTTGTTTTTCCGTTTGTAACGCATCGAAATAATCATTTCCGACCCTATAAAGTATATATATTCTTGATCAGCGTAAAATTCTATGACGATCTAAGCATTTCCGTCTGTCTGTTGTAATCACTCTAGCGTCCAAATGAATTGAGACAGAACGCCAAAATTTTGTCTGCAGGCAGGTCAAGTTCGAAGATGGGCTATATTGGTCCACGTTTAGGCATACCTCCCATATAAGGGTACCCCCAAATTTTCAGTATTTTGGGGCTCTTGAGCGCGTTTTTTAACCAAATTCGCTGAAATTTGGTAAAATGGGCTCTTTTTGGATACCAAATTTCTCAACTAAAAATTATAACTTTAGGTCCACTTTTTCTGGTAGCCCCCATATAACGGTACCTCCCAATTTTCAGTTTTGGAGGGGTTTTGACCGCATTTTTTCACCGAATTGGCTGTAATTTAGTACTTTGAGTTCTTATTGGGTATTAAATCTCTCCACAAAAAATTATAAATATAGGTCCATTTTTTCGGGTAGCCCTCATATAAGGGTACCACCAATTTTCGGTATTTTGGGGTTCTTGAGCGCGTTTTTCAACCGAATTCGCTGAAATTTGGTACTTCGAGTTCTTATTGCGGAGCAAATCTCTCCACAAAAAATTATGAGTATAGGTCCATTTTTTCGGATAGCCCCCATATAAAGGTACCACCAATTTTCGGTATTTTGGGGTTCTTGAGCGCGTTTTTCAATCGAATTTGCTGCAATTTGGTATTTTGTAGTCGTATATGGTAACAAATCTCCCTATCAAAAAATTTTAATATTCGCCCCCTTTTTGGGGTAGTCCCCAATTTCATTTTACTGGTTCTTCAAAAATTCGACGTCTGTTAGGATTCATCTGTTGAATATACCCACAGTGGTGAAGGGTATCATATAGTCGGCCCCGTCCGACTTTACTACTTTCCTTACTGTTTTTTTTTAATTATGAAACTTGCTTTTTTGAGTCACAATAAACCCTTAGAGACAAATAAAACACTGACTCTATTATTTTACCCTTCACCACACTGTGGTACAGGGTATTATGTCTTCTTTGTGTAACAAGCTAAAGGAATCGAGATAGACACATGGTTCCTTTTGAGAATATGCATTGGATCACTTTCTGGGTCGATTTATGCATGTCCGCCCGTCCGTCTGTAGATGTTAAATTGTAAACAGAGTACAGGTCGCATTTATGATCCGAATTGGATGAAATTTGGCATAGCTCATCTATTTGGCTCAAGGACGAGCCCTATTGAAATTGGGAAAAATCGGTTCAGATTTAGATATAGCTCCCTTATATAGTTTCGTCCAATTTTTAGTAAATAATGCATCAAAGACCCAAGGTTAGGTTAGGTTAGCCTAACGCCAATTTTTATTGAAATCGGTTCAGTTTTAGATATATCTTCCATTAAGTTTCGTGAAAATCGGTTGAGACTTAAATATAGCTCCCATATATATTTTTCTCAGATTTTATGTAAATTGTGCATCAAAATACTAATGTTTGTCCGATTGACGCGAAATATTGTACAGCGTATCAAATTGAGACTAGAATGACGTTATTGTTGAAATTGGTGCAGATGCAGACATAGCTTCCATATATATTCCGAACGGGTGTCTGATTGAGATTAAATTGCGAACAGTGCTTTAAATCAATTTTCATAAATTTGTCCTATTGTACTACTTAAAAGTACTTTAAATCTGCCCGAATGAAATGAAATTTAGCATAGGTTGCAGAAAGCATGTGTATGAATTAGTTAGTCGGTTCACTTATAGATAACGATCACATATTTAGGTTCGTTGAATTTCATGTCAGTGGCGACGTTTATTAGGATACATATATGTACCCATAGTCGACCCCGTCCGACTTTGCTACTTTCCTCACTGTTTTTCTTTTTCATACGAAAATCATGCCAAAACATTTTTTTTGTCTAAAGACTTTTGAATGTCTTTCCTCCATAATTATTCCCATTTGTTATATATTTCAAAATTTTTATTGTTCACTACACACATACATTGTTTATAATTAGATACATTTACGTGGAAATTAAATTAGTTTTTTTTTTTTGTTGTTTTGTTTTAATATTACATATGTGTATTCCGTGTGTATGTGTATTTCGCTAATGTTGGTGCCACAGAAATTTCAATTCTCACGCATGAAATTACTTGTGGTTTACCATTCACTAAAGCTATTAGTCGGATAAACTAAGAAAAGTACCTTCTTACTGAATGTGTGTGTTTGTGCGTGTATGTGACAGTGTGTTTATACCACACTTCTGCGGTAAGGTGGCACATTGAACTTTTGACTCCCAAGTGATGACTTTACTGCGGAGACGAAAATTAATTTTGCCAAAGCTGCGAAAATGTATCAACTGTTACTTATCCTATCCTATCCTTATCATATGCTGACTGGCATGGGAGGCTTAGTTTAATGACTATGTGTGTGTGTGTGCACAACGTCTTCTATCTGATGAACTTATTGTTGGTTAGCATGCGGGAATGTATTGTTGTGTTTGTGCAAACACTAACACCTTCAAGTAATGATTGTGATTTGTGTTGTTCATGTGAAAGCGTGTTTAATCTTTAAATCGCTTTGGGTATAATCATTAGTTATTACGACATGTATACAGAAATATGTATGCGGCAATTACGTACATACATAATATGTATATGCATATCCCATATCAGGATGGTATTAAAAAGGAATTTTATCGATATTAAAATAAAGATACTAATAACGTGTTTAATAAGTCAAATAAA